TTTTTGGGCTTCTTTATCCGTTGGTACTTCAGAGCCTCCAGCCTCTCAGGTGCGGCGGTGGCGTTCCCGGGTGCAGGCGGATGTGTCCTGCAGAGGGACAATCAGAGGGTGCGGGTCAGCCCCCGCACAGGGAGCCTTGGGGGCGGGGCTGGAAGGAAGCCCGAGAGCTGGCCCGTAGGACACGGGGTGCGGTTCCGTGCAGTCCCAGACCCACGAGGGCTCCCAGCCCTGGCTCTCTGTGGCTCCTGGGAGGGAGAAGAGCCAGTGGGAGCTGCGGCCTCGGGGGGCCCACCTCGGGTGGACGGACCTGCAGAGAAATCAGAAGGCCTAGGAAAGGGAGAGAGACTTTAGCAGGAAGCCTTGAATCACACAGAATTCAAGCCGGAGGAGTGAGGTCGGAGAAGGAAGCCGCTTCGACGTCTGAAGTTCTGAGAAGTCATCACAATCAAGACCTTTAAGGGAAAAGAGAAAGTGCAGATTATAGCGGGATATGGGCACCCAACCCACATCCACTGTCCCCCTCCAGAGAAGAGGCGGCCAGCGCCCAACGAGAAACCTGCCTCCAAGCTCCTGTTCTCCATTCACGAGACTCTGGGAGAACCTCGAAGCTAACAGCACCGCCTCCGGTACCTCCCTGACCCTCCGCAGGCTGGGCTCACACTCCTTCCGTCATGCGAGAGAAGAAACGAAAGGGAGAAGTGGATTGCGATGGTGAGAGTGTCCAAATCCGGCAGCCTCGTAAAGCCCTTAACTACTGCAGCAAGAATCCCATGAGTCTCTCTATTTTAAGATGCAAGGAAGAAACGGAGGTTGTTGGGTGAGGAGACCACGCATCGTGGCCTCTCTCCCAGCCGGCCCAGCGGACAGTGCCACATGCCTGGCAGACCAAACGCATGATTAGAACGAAGTCAATGGGATTTAAGTGAAGCCATGCAGCCCAGGTGACAGAGGGGACCAACGAGAACCGGGAGGACGACTGTCTGTGACTATCTGTGAGAGAATGAGCCGTAAAAGAAGAAAATCTAGAAGATGCGTTATCAATGGCGTTTCTTCACAACGTAGGGGCCTGAGGAACAAAGGTCACTCTTTCCCCCCCAGTGCCGGCATCCATACGCGGTCCCCGGGGAACTGCACTCTTGCCTCAACCCTCTCAGCTCCCCCTTCCAGCTCCAACACAACTGGTCTGCGGGGAATCCTGACGAGGAGGAGTAGGACAGATGCCCTGTGACGCGGGAAGACGTTCCCAGTGGTAAGGAAGCAGTTGGAGGCATTTTTAAAACATGAGAAGGGTCGGGAAGATGGTAGCTGCATTGCCCCCACATGGGGTCGTCTTTGCGGGAAGGTGGGAGAAGAAACTTACAGACGAACGTGGACACGCCTCTGGCCTCCAGGTTTCCTGCAAGAACTGGCAGTGAAGCAACCTTCATCTTCGTTGATGGATGGCATCGCTCCCTCGCCCTTCAGTAAATAAGGGATCGGGAAGCGCCTCCCAAGTTCAGGTCAGAGGCCACATCTTGATCTTCCACAGACACCCCTGACAGCACGGAGCTAAGAAGCCCCACCCTCCATGAGCACAAAGGCACTCGGTCCAAGGTCCAACTCACCATGAGCAGACAGGCCTCCTCCCCCAAACACCCAACCTGCTAATCCCCCATTCCTTCCTCCTTTACCAGCCCCGCACTCTACCCACAGAGATCCTCACGGCAACAGCTGGAAGGGAAGGGGGAGGCGGGCACAGGGTGGAGATGGCTCCGGCAGGTGGGGCATGACGCTCCAGTGCTGGTGGGGTGCCCTCACCCCTTCTCAGCCTTGACTAAGGTTTCTGCATGCTGCTGAAGGGAAGCTCGTAGGTCTATGCCTGCTGTTCGGTCTGCCTGTCTCCAGGGCCCAGCCAGCCTCCGGAGAGGGACCACAGACAGTGAGCGATGCGTGGTCTGACTGGCAAGTGGGCTCAGGAAGCAGTGCTCAAGGACATCCCCCATCAGGGCTCAAGAGACTCTTACCAATTCTAGGGATTCTGTAAGCCAAGTGACACCTCCACGGATGTTTTCATTATTACAATCCACAAATGTCACTATTCCCGTTTTTTAGTCACGTAGTATCTATTTACCACTTACCAGGCCAGGCACTGACCTACATTCTCTACAACAATGTTCTTTTATCCTTACAGCAACCCTCAGGGGTAAACACTACACAGTGGGCCCATTTTTCAGATGGAGAAACTGAGGAGTGAGGCCAGGTAGCTTGTCCAATTTCCCCAGTGACTACGGGATAGAGCCAAGATTCTCAGCCCCGGGCGACCCCATTTTTCCAAATTCTTCCTAATAAAGCGGGTAGAGAAGTCACGGCAGAGAAAAGTCCTGCTTCCACGCGGCAGAAGGACCCCGCTGAGGTCCTCACTGACAGTCTCAGCAGTTGGGGCAGAGCCGGGCTGAGACACACTTGGGGTGGGGCAACGCTGGCTGCTCCAGGCAAAAACTCCCCAATAGTCATGATCCGCTGAGGAGGATAAGCTCATTTTCTCTTGGGGAAACAGCCAAGCTCAGGCTCTGCCAGGACACACGCCGGTCACCTGTTCCCACTTTGGACTCAGCCCTCAAGCGCAGGACCATGACAAGAGACTCTCCAGAGGCAGAAAAAAACCCACAAGCAAGTGTCCAGCAGGACAGGAAGGACGGAGGATGGCAAAATGGGTCTTTCTTTTTAGCGAATTACACAGAAAAGATATGTGACACGTGCTCCAGCCAGCTTCGTCCACCACCTGCCAAGCCCTTTGGAATCAAATCACCTCCCTTTTATAGGAGGGTGACCATGTCCCCATCAAGGTCAAGCTCACCTAGGGCACTTCCAGGTATTGAGGCCCAGGGTGATGGTGTCATATAAAGATGGCAAGTGCACCTGAGGTTGGCTTGCAGGTTCCCTATCTGGACAGAATCCAGCCCTGGGCTCTCCAGGAAGCTGAGCTCCCAGTCCTGTTCCTGACCAGTCCCTTCCACTCCAGCATCCAGGAATCGGCAAGCTCTGGGTGCTCCGTCTCCCAAGGAGTCTGAGCATTACTGAATGGTGAAGGCTTAGGGATTCTCCTGACCTGCCTTATCGTCTCTCCCAGACACTGCCAGTAGCATTTTTCTGTAGGTCAGAACCAGCAAAATGCCTGGAACTGACTTGAACACTCTCTCTCTCTTTCTCTTTCTTCATAAAATCCATACAAAATCCAAGTCATGACCATTTAGCTAAGCTTCCCTTAGCTGCTTAGCTCTATGCTGACCCAGAGGAATGCAGAAAAAGACCTCCTGGTTCAAATGTAGGCAAACCACAAAACAGGAAAGTCAAAATCCAAATCCATTAAGGATATGTCCTGCCCTTAATGCCCAAAGAGCGGGCCATGAGGACACAGTTCTCAGCGCCACCTCCCGTCACCAGGCAGACACACGATTTGAAGAGCACTCGCCTCCTCTACCTAACTGCCCGAGAGTGCGCCCGGCGTGGCTGGTTAGGCCCTGCGGTCGGCAGGCTGAGGGAATCCTCACACAGTCACGGTGTAGCCAAGGAAAAGTGCTGGTACAGAGCAGAAAGCCAGGCGCCTGGCTGGCAGCCGCTCCGCTCTGCCCACAGATGGTCCGTTTCTAGAGGGATCAGGGCACCAGCCAAGTGCTTGGCCTCACAAGTCAGAAGCTTGTTCCGAATGGGAGCGCCTTCCCAGGGCTCCCCTAGTAAAAGGGGACCCCTCCACGCTCCCAGACCCACCTGCATGGGCAATGGAGGCCAAAGTCAGTATGAAAAGGGAAGGGGATCAGAGGGAGCTATGAGGGTAGGGATACAACGACTGGTCCCAGAGAAAAACCCCTCAGGCTCCCAGCCATTCACAGATACCCCGTGTTGAGAGGAAGGTGGGAAGAAAAGGAAAGAGGTGGAGGGAGAGAGGGGAAGAGGAGGAATGGGGGGGGGGGGGGGGACACCTGCAGGTGTGGGGAGAAGGAACAAGGAAGCGACTGGAGAAAACAGCTAGAACGGACGTAGACAAGACGTGTCACATCTCCAAGCAAGACCGAGTGGAGACACATGCAAAGGCCAGCGTGAGGACAGCATCTGACGAGGAGCCTGCGCCTCCCAATGGCCCGCAGCGACCGCACCCGGGAAGCCCGTAGCAAGCAGGAGGCGTGGCGGCTCCCGCAGCCCAGCACCCGCAGCCCAGCGCCGGCAAGGTCTACTCCGAGGCTGTGGGAGGTCTGACTCCCCTAGGTGGGGTGCTGGCCAGACCCCAGGAACAATGCTCTCTCGTGTGGCCCCTGGCTGCTGGCTTTGCCATGGCGGAGAGTAGAGTAGCTCTGCTCTCTCAGATCTGACACGGTGGGAACAAGGGGGGCGGAGGGCCCAATAGCTGGGGGAGGGGAGGGGCAGGAGCAATGAGAATGGGGTCCAGCACTTTCCAGGAGTGGGGTGAGAGTTAGTTCTGGAGCTGTGACCTCTCAGGGGATGACAGCGGGGCCATCACTGGGCGGCAGGGAGGGAGGGCTGGAGATGGAGGACAGCCCAGTCTGCCACTCTGGAGCATGCACCCTCAGGCCACGGAGGCCTTAGCTCACAAAGACCTCTGACCCTGCACGTCCTCCCAATGTGCACGGCCCAAGTGGGGCCCCAGCCGGCTGCATGCCACACGCCGTCCCAGGACCTCCGGGCTGCTGGCCCTTTTCTAGCTGTAGATTGTACAGAAATGGCACAGCACCCTCACCGTGGGACGCCTTCCTTCTGACTGCAAACGTCAGTCCTGAGTGAGCACGGCCAGCGCCCCGGACCTGTCAGGTGGCAATGGGAGGCACCACTTCCACCCGCGGCAGCCGGGGCGCCAGAGGGGCCTTCGCACCCCGAGAGCAAGCCTCTCGTAACCCTGACAGCCTTTTTAAGAGACTTGAAACCCTCTGCATGCCCAGTGCCTAAGGCCCCCTCCCGGGGGAGTGTGTGTCTCCTGCCACCTCAACCCCCGGCCTGGGAAACCTCTTCTGAGCTCCCCGGACTCCCTGCAGCTGCGACTCAAGGTCAGGAGTGGTTGCCATGGAGCCCTTGAGAGCCGTATGACACTAAGGGCAAGATCAGCCTTGCAATAGCCAAGGGCAGGCAGCAGAATGAAAGGAGCATGGATGTGGGGACGTTTCCTGGCCCTGCCCTCAGAGGACCACGGTGGCCTGGTCCTAAGAAGGACCTCGTCCATGGCCGAGGGAAGGAGCTGGGCCGCACCCCAATCCTGTGCTCCCTGAGGGGACCAACTATTCGTAAGAGCCCAGGTAGACAGCGAGGGGCCAGCCACCCCAGGGAAGGTCTGAGTTTGGGGGTCCCGGGAGAAGAGGTACTCTACCTGAGGCTGCTGGGCAAACAGAGCAGAGAGAGGGTGGGTGTCTGGTACCAGTGTGGCCCCGGACTGATAGTCAAGGGTACAGAGAGGCCAAGCAGGTCTTAGCACTGTGGGCCCCTCAGGTGCATGCAGGGCCCGGAGGGGCCTCTGGGCAGCTCTGGGTGTGTGGGCAGCAGAATGGCAAGGTGTCTGAGTGAGGAGACTGCAGGGCGGCTATGGGAGAGAGCTTGGCATATGGGGTGGGCAGGGCGAGAAGCTGCAGCGAGGCAGTGCCCGAGCGTGGCCTGGGGGGGCTGTTGGAGCAGCGTGATGGGGGAACCCAGAAGCCGAGGGATTCGGGGAGCAGAGGCTGCCGTCCCCACTGAGGGGGGTGAAGGGACATGGTCTGGATCCCCCTGTAGAGGAAGCGATGGCCCTGCCGAAGCCCCGTCCGCCTGTCCGCCCCCCGCCCCCCAGCCGCGGAGCACCCTTACCTATTGAGCTGAGGAGAGGCTTGTCTCGACAACACTGCCCAGATAGCTGAGATCAATCAGAAACAAAGCAGTTATCAACACGGGCCGTGGAGAACCACCCACGCACACCCAGAGGGGAGGAGGGGGAGCACGGGGACCAGAGAACCGACAAGGAGGCCAGAGAATGGGGTGAGGGCAGGAGAGGAGAGAGACAGAGAAACAGACCAACGATGGGACAGAGCAGATGAGCGCGCTGCAAAGCGGACGACAGGGCTGCGCCCACAGCATCTCCGCAGACACCACAGGCACCACGCAACCACGCGCCCCGCCTGGCCTGGCGCCGGCTGGAGCCTCCTCCACTCCCAGGAGCAGGTGGGGGGGGGGGGGGAGGCTTGCACTTCCAGGTACCGGACAGGGTGGGGGTGAGTGGGGCAAGGGAAGGGCTCTGGGCTCCTCCTCAACCGCCACCCATCCTGCCTACCACCAGGCCAGCTCCTCTGGAGCTGGGCGCCCCGCACAGGCAGCCACACCAAGAGAGACCAAAGGACGGAACTAGAAAGAAAGAGGGAGGGAGGGGTGGAGGGGGGAGAGGAAGGAGGGGTAGGGGGGCTGGGGGTATTACCAAGACATTGCAGGCTCTTCTGAGTAAGTTGGGGCAACCCAGAGAAGATGGAGAAGGAAGAAAGACAGACAGAAAGACAGACTTGAGGAGGAAGCACAAGGAGGAGGAAGAGGAGGAGGAGGAGGAGGAAGAGAAGGAGGAGAAGAAAGACAGAGAAAGGCACAGACAGGCGTCCAGGCTGACTGGTACCTGGAACACCAGCTGTTTAGAGTGTGCTCTCTCAGGCAGGCTGATCGCAGGAGCTTGTCTGTCTGTCTGTCTGTCTGCAGCTTCCTGCGAGGCACACAGGTTGGGGTGGGGTGTGTGGTTCCAGGTACCTGATTCACAGCCTGAGATCTGGCCCCCAGCCTCCAGGATATGCCCCTCCACCCCCCTGGGAGAGGCTGTGGGAGGGGCCCAGAACTCTCCAGGCCACTAAGGGCAGGGTTTGGAGAGGGGCGCCCCTGGCCTGGGGGTCCAGGGAGGCCAGGCTTCAGGATCCTGCCAAGCAAGGAGGAGGGGCTGGGAAGCAAAGGAGCCTGGATGTGAGGTCTCTGGGCAAACCGTAGCACCACCCCCAAAGCCAGGATCCCAGGGACCTGGTGAGCCCTCCACTCCACCAGGAACCGGGGTGACAGCTCCCTGGGGCCTGCCACGCCCCTCCCCTGGGCCATGTGTGCCCACTCCTGAGAGCCCTGGGCTGGTGGAGAAGATCCCTCCTGCTCCTGGCAGGGTACCTGGGCAGGTAAGCCCCATCCCACCACAACTGGCCACACCCTGCTGATGCCAAGACCAGAACACCCCCCCCCCCACCCCCACAGGGATGCTGCAGCGATTCCAGACAAGCCCTGTCATTCTGGTTGATGGACGGTGGAGGGCGGGGTGAGGGTGGGGGGGCGGGAGAATGACCAGGTGAAGGTGGGCGGGGAGACCAGCTCACACTCACCCTGAAGTAGGTAACTGTGGTGGGGGGGGCTCTGGTCTGAGCAGCTCCTCCCCCATCCTTCGGGGGGAAGGCGTCTGTCCAAACACATCCAACTTGTCCGCAGGCCCCGCGGGGCCCATCGGAGGGGAGGGGTAGCCCGTGGCCAGAGTGGTGAAGCCCACGGCGGGCCGGTAGCTGGGGCTCCCGCTGCGGCTGCTCTGGGACGGGGAGCCCGTGGACGGCGTGGACTTGCAGGAGAAGCTGACGGCGGCCGGCGGCTGGAGGGTGATCTCGGACATCTCGGCCTGCTGCAGGAGGCCCGGGCGAGGCCGGGCCCGGGCGGCCAGCTCCGGGGAGCCGGTGCGGGAGCTGAGGGGGCTTTGGGTCAGAGGCGAGAGCCGAGAGGGCTGTAGCACCACTTGATGTAAACTGGGCTCGGCGCGCCTGGCCTGCCGGGGGCTGGGCCGGGGCCGGGGCTGCGGCTGGTACCACCGGGTGTCCAGGCCGAATGTGCTGGGGCCACCATGTCCCCCCGGCTCGGTGGGCTCGGGGTAAGGCAGCACAGGGATGCCCATACCTTGGCTGGTATGTCTTAGCTGCCCTTGGCTCACCAGTGGCTGCACGGGTCTGTCCTGCCACTTGGCGGCGGGGGGCACTGGTGCGGGGACTCTGCCCGGCGACTTGCCTGCCCAACCCTTCGGTGCCTCCAGAGACAGGATGCCTGGGTAGGCCGAGGGCACCTGGAGGGAGGAGGGGGGCAGTCCTCGGGGGAGGCAGGCCTTGGGCTGCAGACTCTCGGCCACATCACAGGGGTGCAGCTGGTGGGGGAACATCATGGCCGGGGTTTCCAGGCCCCCGAAGGGGAACTCCGGCCGGCCCCAGGGCTCCGGGGAGCGCCCGCCCGTGGGGGTCTGAGTCAAGGGCAGCGTGCTGTTGGACGCGTTCTCTCCGTTCTCCTCGGGGATGGTGGGGTGGCCGAAGGGCCCCTCTGAGTGCAGGGGCGGGGAGGACATGACTGAGCTCAGGGGGCTGCCCACTTCCGGCATGTAGAACGGTGGCGGCTCCACCTCCCCAGGGCTGCTGCTGCTCAGGTACCCATAGTACTGGCCGTGGTGGAAGGACCGGGGGGCGGGCGGCCGGGCCTGGCCTGTGGCCTGGAGCCGCCCCTCCAGGCCGCCGGGGCCCTCGAGCCCGCGGGGCTGGAACCGGGGGCTGTATGCTGGTGGAGGCAGGTAGGACTCCTGGCTGGATGACAGAGGGGTCAGCTGGGACTTCAGGGCAGCCACCGAGGTGGGCACCAGGGGGTCCTCATTCTCCTCGTCAGACTGGCGGAACTCGGGGTACATGTCCGTCTCCTCCGCAAAGGGAAAGCCCTCGATGCGCCTGCCCTTCACGGCGGGCTCCACTTCGGAGGGCCCCATCACAAAGCGGCCGTCGGGGCCTCTGCTGATGAGCTCGATGGGCGTCGTGGCCTCGGCCTCGGCCTCCGCCTTGGCCACGCTGTACTTCTTGCTGCTGATGGCCCTCTTGGTCTTCTTGTACAAGGAGAGCTCCTTCTCCCGGCTGGGGCTCAGCATCCTCTTGGCTGAGGGCTGGCCCTGGTCGTCAGAGGACTCGGAGGGGGGCCGGAGCGTTCGGATGCTCTCTGGGCTCACCTTGCCCGAGGACAGGCTGTGGGGACAGGCGGAGAGCAGGAGGGTGAGGCAGGGGACACACGGGCCATTACTCCTTGGTGTGCCCTTAGCAACCACCAACCACAATGGCCTGGGAAGACAGGACTAGGGAACAAGACCGCAGGTGACTGCATAGTTTGGCATGAACCTCTTGGGCCAACCTTCTCAATCTGTCTAGGTGTGCTTTCTGAGTAAGTACCCGCATTTCTACTTCTATTCCGCTCCGCCCACGGTTTGCTGTGCTCTGTCCAGTCCCACCTGCAACTTCACTCCCAGGTTGCTCGGGGAAAGCAAGCTCATTATAATATTACAACGCAAACATACTCAGAAGGCAAATCTGTTAGGATGACCAAAAAAATAAATAAATAAATAAATAAATAAATAAATAACAGAACTACACTCTGAAGTCAAAGAGAAATGGGTTCTGGGCTCCTTCTGCAGGGGAACAGCAAGATCAACCGGCAGTAACCAGCGGAGAAGAGCCGCAATGGGCTGAGCGAGGAGGACTGCCCACTGTCACACCCTGACCGTCCACCCGCACCACACAAGCAGCGTGTCCCCCGGGGCTGAGCTGGGGCACTTACGGGGACTCCAGGCTCTTCCTGCAGTGAGTGATGGAGAGCGGAGGGTCTGGAAGGAGAGAGGGGGGAGACCTGCTGAGGCCGAGACACCAAAACACACGCCAGCGCCGACAGGGCCCAGAGCTGAGCCGTGAGGGAGCCCGTCCCCACCCCAAGCGCTTGCCTCCTCCAGCCTCTCCCACGGTCCCCATGTCCTTTCTCCTTTGTTCAAATCAAGTCCCCCTGGCAACTCTACCCTCTTCTCAAGGGGCCCCACACTACACACAGGCCGTCTCTCCTAACAGGGAGCCTCTGAACCCGGGCCGGGTAGAGCAGGGGGTGGGGACCACACCCACCTTTTTTGCGCTTGAGCTTACGCTTGCGCTGCTTGTTGACAAAGCAGGCGGCCAGGGTGCTGAAGAGGATGGCGGCCGCCAGGAAGCAGATGGTGGCTACGATGCCAGCCAGCACGGGCCGCGCCAGGCCGTCATCCGTCAGGTCCGGCTGGGGGAAGATGTCTGCGGGGAGGGGCATGGAGTCCTGGGAGGCATCCCCTTCCAGAGGCCCTGCCCACTCTGACACCCAGCCGCCTACGTGATGGGCCTTACACATAACCTAAGGCTCAGACTCGGGCTCCAGCCACAAGGAGGGTTGCATGGATTACAGCCAGGGGGCCACCACATAGCTAGTAAAGAGGAAAGAGCATCAATACCTTACCCTGTGGGGGTGATAATACTGATCTAGTGCGCAAGCCCAGCCAGAGTGGCTCAGTGGTTGAGTGTCAACCTATGAACCAGGAGGTCATGGTTCAATTCCTGGTCAAGGCACATGCCCGGGCTGTGGGCTCGATCCCCAGTGTGGGAGGCAGCCCATCAATGATTCTCTCTCATCCTTGATGTTTCTATCTCTCTCTATCTCTCTCCCTTCCTCTCTAAAATCAATAAAATACATTTTAAATATACTTATGTATATATATGTGTATACACACACACACACACACACACACACACGCGAGATATTTTCTTAAATAAAATAAATAAATTTTTTAAAAGCCCAAGGAGCACAGAAGTCACAAGTCACCTCCACTCCACCTGATGCTCTCATGCCATGTCTGTCCTTCCCTGCCCCCCCCCCAACTTGGCCAAGCTCCTTGCTAGCTGGCCCCCCAGGGAGCAGTGCCCATGGAAATGGTGCCCTTGCTTTCTCACTAAACAAGCGCCTCCTCCCGCTGCCCCAGAGCTGGTCCTGAGTCTAGGGAACCAAGGAAGCTGCTCCACGGGGAGACAGAGAGGACCTGCAGGTTTCAGACACTGTGGCTGGAGAAAGATGTGTAGACATGAGACCAGAGGCAAAAAAAAAGTGAAATTGAGAAAATGCCCGAAGGGGGCTTTTTTGAGCCTGAAAAACATCTAGGCAGAGGAAGAAGTGAAGAGCAACACCACCCAACAGCAGTTTTCCAAATAAAAGCACCATCATTATACAGCGGTCTTACAGCAGGCGCTCAGTGGATGCTTGGCGACCTGTGGTCCCTGCTCTGGTCCCACCCATTACAGAGGGTCACATGGGAGGAAATGGAGTTGACAGAGAAATAACTTTGCCCCAGCCAGTTTGGCTCAGTGGATAGAGCGTTGGCCTACAAACTGAACGACCCCAGAATCAATTCCCGGTCAGGGCAAATGCCCAGGTTGCAGACTCGATCCCCAATAGGGGTGTGCAGGAGGCAGCTGATCAATGGGTCTCTCTCAACATTGATGTTTTTCCTCTCCCCTCTCTCCCTCTCCCCTCCTCTCTGAAATAAAAATATATTTTGAAAAAGAAAGAAAAAGAACTTAATCCAGTTCTTTCTGACAACAGTATGAGAAGATTTGCTAACTTCCTCTCTGCGGCTTCCTTACAGACACTGTGACCAGCACAGCTCAAGATGGAGAAATCCCACCCATGGAAGCAGGAGCATGGACCTGACTCCCCGTGGCTCTGGGCTGTGTCCCCAAAGCTGTAAAAGAACCCCCCCCTCCCCAAGTACCTGTGCTGGAGACGCCGGCAATGTTGCTGGGCTCGCTGACCAGGTCCTGCATGACGGCCAAAACCCGGAACTCATACCAGGTGTCCTACAGCCGCAGGGACAACACCCATCAGCCAGGGACCCGAGCGGCCACTGGCCTGCCACTGACCCGCCACCGACCACACACCATTGACCCTGCCAGGACATGTCATGAAACATGGCACCCAAAACAGTGGTCCTGAAGTGTGTAACAACCAGCTCTCAAGTGAAAAAAAAAAAAAATAGAAGTTCTAATTTGTAGTCTTTGCCAATTGCTGTGGTGTAAATACTCTGACCACGGCTGATGTGAAGTGAGGTCACAGAGAGGAAAGGTGGGAAGGAAAACACTCGGGATTTCAGGAGCCACGAGCCAATTCCAGCCCTGAGTGTCCAGGGAAGGGAGAAAGAAGGTAGGCAAGACAGTCTATTCCTAAAGGAGATCACCTGGAAAAGGATAATGTATGCCCCAGGCTCTGAACTGGTAAAGGGTAAAGCTAAAAACTGTCCTGGGAAATCCTGTCCATCATAGTTAGGTTTCCAGCAAGGAGCTAAGGTCTGGTGATAGAAAAATAACTCTGCCCCAGCCAGTCTGGCTCAGTGGATAGAGCACTGGCCTGCAGACTGAAGAGTCCAGGTTCAATTCCCGGTCAGGGCGCATGCCCGGGTTGCAGACTCAATCCCCAGTAGGGGGTGTACAGGAGGCAGCCCTCGCTTGTGTGTCTGTACTTGGAGAAACCCCTCAGTGATACTACCCCCACTACCCCTGGGAGAGCTGGTCCTGAGTCTGGGGAACCTCAGTCACCGTGGGCAGCTCTGGGCGAGAGCATGAACAGGGTGTGTGGTCCATCAGTCCGTGGCCAGACTTCACAGATTTGCGTCGGGTCAGTCAAAGCTTCCAGTGACTCCGGGAGTTCTGTCACTTCTGGGATTTGGGAAACAGCAGCAGGGGAAGCCCAGTGCTCACCTGGGACAGATCCTTGGCAAAGAAGTCTCCATCGGTGCCTGGGATGGCATCGTCTAGCATCTCCCAGCGCTCTCCGACACGGAACTCCATGACGTAGCGGTCGATGGGGAAGCTGTGGTTGGCAGGTGGCAGCCAGGACAGCAGCACGCCCTGCTGGGTCCGATTGGCTGTGAGGCACCGCGGTGGGGTAACCAGCACCAGGGGTTCTGGGGTTGTGATGGGGAATGCTGCGGCGAGAGAGAAGGGAGACAGTGCTGAGGTCGCCAAGGCCTCGCCGTCCACGCGATCTCTGGCTCAGCATGCGGCCCTGGGGCACCACGGCCCCGAGGCAGCGTGGCTGTGGGCCAGCGCATGGGCTCCTGTGTCCAGAGCACTTCCAACATCTAGGAGGAGCCCAGTTCCACAGAAGAAACAAAATGGGCCCGGCCGGTGTGGCTCTCCCAGCGTGGCTCAGTGGATTGAACATCGTCCCAGGAACCAAGAGGTCACTGGTTCAAGTCCCAGTCAGGGCACATGCCCGGTTATGGGCTTGATCCTCAGTAAGGGGTGTGTAGGAGGCAGCTGATACATGTCTCTCTCTCTCTCATTGATGTTTCTTTTTTCTTTTCTTTTTTTAATTCTCATCCGAGGATATTTTTCCATTGATTTTTAGAGAGAAGAGAAGAACATCAATGAGAGAGAAACACATCGATTGGTTACCTCCTGCATGCTCCTGGACCAGGGTCCGGGCCAGGGAGGAGCCTGCAACCTAGGTACATGACCAGAATGGAACCCGGGACCTTTTGGTCCACAGGCCGACGCTCTATCCACTGAGCCAAACTGGCTAGGGCTCTCACTGATGTTTCTGTCTCTCTCCCCCTTCCCCTCTCTAAAATCTATTTTTTTAAAAAGAAGAAGGAATAAAGTGTGAGCTAGGGAAGGAGGACACATTAAATCCAATTAGCTTTTTAATAAGATAGCATCTTTACAAAAGTACTGCAAACGTATCTTTTGTTCCCTTCCCAAGGAAGCAGGACTATCCTCCCGCACACAGTTTGCTTTTCCAGCTCCCCTCCAGGCGGGGAGACCCCAGGGGAAAATCAAGACGCGGCGGGGAGACCCCAGGCAGCGCTAGCACTGGCACTGCTGCCCCCTCGGTGGCAGTAAAGCAGGCTGGCATGGTGCCCCCTGCTCCTAGCTGCCTGCTCTGGTCCTGGGTGGGAGGAGTGGCTACTGAGCCCAGGAAGGCAAGACCAGCCACACACTTGCCACCAAATGGAGCCGGGACCAGAGGGACATGCTGGCCGGAGTACAGGACGAGGAAGGATTCCCAGTCCCCCAACCTGTGAAGCCACAGGAAGATGCGGACACGTGGCCTAACCAGGAAGAACAAATTCAAAGCCTCCTCCGCCCAGCTAAGGACACAACAGGAATTGGCCAAACATGATGTGTGGGAGGGGTGGTACTTTGATACAGACGAGCCCTACGAAATGGAATAACCAATCTCTCCCAGGAGATCTAGTGACAGGACCGCAGAAAGCACCCAGGAAGGCACCTGGCACGCAGCAGGCATGGCAATGTCAGCTTCCGGGACCCTTCCTGCCTCCGCCTGGACCACGCGGGACCTTGACCCACCTCAGCTCCTCCGGGAAAAGACCCTCAGCACCGAGGCGAGAAGCCTCACCTAAAGTGTTCACAGTGACCACCTCACTGAAGGCGCTCGTCCCCAGCCTGTTCTGGGCCAGGACGCTGAACTGGTACGCCGTCTCGGGCTCCAGGGCATCCACGAGCAGCCAGTTGGGTCCCGGGGGCACTGACAGAGACAGCCAGTCATGAGGTCCAAACTGCGCCCGCTTCATCCTGGCCAAAGCAAAGAGAGAGCGAAGACAAGAGGGTGGGTGGGTTATGCTGGAGACACAGAGCATGCACGGTCCTCCCGGAGGCGGCGGCGTTGGGCTGGTCTCCTCAGGTTCAAGGAAGAGGTCACGGCCAAGGAAGGATGGCCACCCGACCTCGATGGGCCAAGCCTCACAATGCCAGATCACCAGCCGCCGTGGCGCCTCCTCTTCTACGAGGGACACTTAAGTGTGAGTCGTGCTCAAAACACCGGTCAAGCCCAGCCGGCAGAACTCAATGGTCAAGCCGTCGACCTATGAACCAGGAGGTCAGGGTTCAATTCCCGGTCAGGGCACACGCCTAGTTTGCAAGCTTGATCCCCAGTATGGGGTGTGCAGCCAATCAATGATTCTCTCTCATCATTGATGTTTCTATCTCTCTTTTCCTTTCCCTTCCTTTCTTTGAAATCAATAGAAATATTGGGGGGGGGGGGGGGGCGGCGGGGACACAAAAAACCACCGGTCAAGTTACCAACTGTGCTTTGGGATCATCTCAGCCTGGTCACAGCCCTGAGCTCTGCCCGGAGAGTGAGGACACTGGAAACAAGGTAGGTACCACAACATGACTGTGACGATGAGCCATTTGGCAACAGTAGGACTAACGACACTCAGGTGACCTCGGCCGCCCACCCTGGCAAGGACAGCCAACAGTGGGACCTGAAGTCACAGAGGGCTCTCTCAGTCCAACCAGGTTGGAGTCGGATGAGGATGAAGGTCCCGGGTACAGGACAAAGATGGCCTGGAGTTTTCCCGGAGTGGGGACCAGCTTCCCTAAGGCTTTAAGGGTTAGAAACCACAATGAAGGGGAAGGTCACCCCGACACCTGTTATACACAGCCCACCACCCAATTCCATCTGCATCTCCTACAGGTGCAGTGCCCGGCATCACCACTGGGAGGAGCCATCGCCCCATGGACTGAGATGCCATCCAGCCCTCTCAGGCCTGAGCTACAATTTAGTGGGTGCCAACAGGTACCCCTTTAGGTTGAAGGCTCAATGCCCAGGAGTTGAAGCTGGGGCAGTGAAAAGCACAGAAAAAAACAAAACAAAATGCAAGCGCCAAATGTATGTCAGTACACAGTGAGAGGTCATCAGAAAGAACTGAGGGAAGGAGACCTCCCAACCTTTTCACCTGCCCTTCCCTGCCCAGGCGCCAAAGCAAGTGAGCAAAGAGTGAAAAGCAACACAGGTGAGCAGCAGCATGGACAGAGCCACCAGCAGCCAGGGAAACCCCTACTGATGCCCAGACCTGCCCCCTGGCATCCCCAAAGGTGGCTCGGCCACACCCAACACGGCCCTAGTGAGGGAGCTGCCCAGCAGTGCCAGCAGGGTGGTTAGGAACCCTGCCCTGCCCCCACCCTGCCAGGGAGGCCTAGAGCTAAGGGAAGGGGTGATCCGGCTGCAGCTCAGAGTTCCCCCAGCTCACCACCTCAGCCCAGCTGGCCTGTCCAGTACTCAACGTGCCCAGGATGTCAGTCTGGGGAATACCCCCACATCCCCATGATGGGAAAGAGCGGGTTCCCTCTCAGCTCTCCTCGCTGTTAGAGGTGTATCGGAGGCTCTCCCTGAATCTTCAGGCTTTTCCCTCTGGATCGGAAGCTGCCTCCTCCCCAGGGTTGAGTCTGGCAGGGATGCCCACCCATGGGAGACAGGTCTCTCCCTTCTCGAGGAAGAAGTGAGGGACTCAGCCCTCCCCGCTTAAGGATGCCCATGGTGCAGGATGGCAGTCCGTAGCTCAGGAGAGCAATGTTGAGAAGGGCGATCCGAAGGTGATAGGAGGGGCCGGCTGTGGCCTTTCTCTCCCTTTTCTAACCCTCCGGTCCTCAGCCACATTCTGATCTTGATCCACCCCCAGGTTTGGGCAAGGATGTCAAATCGCTGAATCTGGCTAAATTCGTGACACAGAGACACAGGGTCCTGGAGGGAACGTGCATGGCCAGGAAGGGGAGTCCCCCTTCCTACTGGTTCCTGTAACCCCTGGGGAGGGGACCGCAGGATAAAACTCAGCTTCAGCACTTCCGGCTGGGGTGCTTCGCAATGCCCTTGGGGATCAGGAGTCTCCCCCAGACTCCAGAGGACAGGGGGACCTAAAGGCAGAATGGGCCAAGGACACAACAAGGTCACAACAGTGAGATCAGAGGAGGAGAAAGCAGAGGGCGATGGACAGCTCAGGCACCGGCCTCCCAAACCTCTGGCTGGGAATACAGGGGCGCCCAGAGTCCCCCAGATACACACCCACTCACCCCACCCCCCAAGACAATAGCCACCGTGTCAACACACCTCTTCCAGTGGGGTCTGGGGAAGAACCATCTCCTCCTCAGAGCCCCACCCACCCAGGCACGGACCGAAGTGGGGGTGGGGAGGGAGAAGCAGAGAGCAAAGCATGCGGGGCTGACTCACAGAGGTCCGTACCAAACTGAGAATGTCTGCTCGAATCCTCCATCGTAGCCGGGCTCCCAGGACACGTTGGCAGTTGTCATGGAGACCTGGACCCGGACTCCGCCTGGGGCGTGGGGGCTGGTGCCTGGAAACCAAGTGGAGACCCTCTCAGACCAAAAGAACTGAGCCTCCCTCCTCTGAGCTGGGCCCCCAAACCTTGCTACAGAGGCCGCAGAGGGCTCCGGCGCCCGGGGAGCTCAGGCTCAGGGTAGACCGACAGGGAGACGCCCACAGTCAACAGCACCCGACCACCCGCTGCCTGCGGCCGTACCGATGACGGTCAGGTGGGTGCTGGCAGTGATGCTGGTGACCACGTTGGTGGCGATGCACTCCCACTCGCCGTGGTCCTCCTTGCTCAGGGCTCGAAACTGGAGGCTCCCGCTGGGCAGGGCACTGTGCTTGCTTCTGCTGGGCTTCCCTACCTTGGCCAAGCAAGGGGGCAAGGAGGAGGGCGGGAGCGGGACACCAGGCAGAGAGGAGGGACCGGGTCAGGTGGAGGAGAGAAGCCACCAACACTTCAGGGTTGGAGGAGCTGCAAAATAGGGCTACACCCCTCCATGCCCTCTGCCAGGGCGCCCTCGAGAAGTCCCCTGGCTCCTCGGCACCTGGTCCCCCAGAACAGACACCCTCCCTCCACCACCCGTCCTGGGAGCTCCGGGGCCCAGAGGTACCTTTCTCCAGGTGATGACAGGGAAGGGGTCCCCTGCAGCAGCACAGGGGATCAGGAGCTCCCGGCCGGCCTCCTGCCTGTACTCCCAGCCTGGTAGCACCGTGAAGTACGGGGGGTCCTGGAGGGAGCACAGTGGGCGTGAAGGGGGGCACAGAGGGCATGAGGGGCACCCCGCTCGGGGCCCCTGCAGTCCCGGCCTCACCTTCAGGACGAGCCGCGCGGGAGCAGACTGGCCCATGGTCCCCAAGGTGTTGTAAGGCACACAGGTGTAGGTGCCAAGGGCCTCTTCTGTGGCCTCCTCGATGCGGATGGAGCCGTCCTCCATCAGGGTCCAACCGAGATTCTGCCGGAGGGAGCAGAGCGGGGCTACGGTCAGGGGTGCGCACCAGTCCCGGCCCCCACAGGGCCAGACGTGGGCAGGGCGGCTCCACTGGACCCCCGGGGGCAGGCCGGGCAGAGACAGCTGCCCTGGGGCAGGGTGTCTTGGTGCCCTGCCAACTGCGGACCCCCACGGGAAGCAGCTCTATGCTTGCCAGAGCTCCCAAGGAGGGTTCCTGGCAGGATCCAGACCCACAGAGGCAGCCCCTTAGGGTCGGGAGGGTGCATTTCATGGGGACCCCACATGCGTCTCTCTAGCACCTTCTCGACCTGCAGGGGGCGGCCGTCCTTGTTCCACTTGACCACGGTGGCCGGCGGCTCTGCGTCCACGGGGCAGCGGATATAGCCATGAATTCCCACGGGCACATAGATTACAGGGGGCATGTTGAGGACACGGGCTGGGTCTAGAGAGGGTGGGAGAGGAGAAAGACACAAGAGAAGTCAAGAAGAGAGAACTGCAGGCAAGGGTCCAGCCACCAAGCACTCCCCAAAGTACAGCCCTTCACACCCTCCACCCACTCAGTCAAAACACTGTGTCCTCAGTGCTCAACATGGAGCCGAGTGCTGGGCCCACCACGGTACCAACCCCGCCTCCTGGCTGATGGCCCCGAGGTCACGCTGAGCCCCCAGTGCAGGTTGCAGGCGTCTGTCTGCCCGGCCTCCAGGATGCCCAAGCACTTCCGTTCTGAATGCCCAGAGGCACACAGGCCCCAGTTGCCTGCCCCAGACCAGCCGATGTGAACACCGCTGCCGGGTGGGCGAGGCTCTCCTGTCCATTTCCCCAGCCTCTCCCTCGACTCCCAACCTCAAAGTCAACACTGACCACCCCCTCCCCCACCTGCTGACCTCAAGTCCTATCACCGAGCCAGTTGCTCTCTTCATACCCTAAGCCAAGAGGAATGGCTGTCTATGCACGAGGTGGGCGAGGCTGGACCACAGGCGGTCCTCTCTGTCAGTTCTGCTGGCTGCCCTCCCAGGCCTCAGTTTCCCTTCTGTGCAGCTGGAGGGCACCATGAGCCCAGGCCACAGAGCCGACGACAGGCTCCTGGGAGAGCAGCGAGAGCCGTGCATCCTGCCACATGGGTGAATCATCCATCACCTTTGGATTTTCCCCGACTTCCCTGAGGGCTACCGAGGGGAAAGCCGCGGAACTTCCAGGGAGGCGGAGAGGATGAATGAGCTGGGATCCTTCAAGCATTTGGAGCTCTTCGGAGAACAGTATTACATAAATACCAGGCCGAGGTATATATTTAGACAGAGCCTCCTACTTTTGTGTGGTAGAGGGTGTTATTTTTTTTTTCTTTTTCCTCCAAGGTTTCCAAAGCATTTATGAATGAGAAATACTCTGAACACTGTTTTTTAGCAGAAATAAAGATCCTTGCCTCACCCACCTGAAAAATCGCACCCCCAGGTTCTCTTCGAAGGCAGGGAGGAGATAAAAAGGGACAGGTGGGAGAGGGAGATGGGAAGCACCCCTGGTTCCGAGGATGGGCCCGATCCTGGAGAGCCATCGCCCCTCGGAGACTCCCCCGCCGCTCTCTCCCTCTGCCGCTGCCACCTTCCGGCACGGATGCCATCAGCCAGCGGGGATGCTGCTCCAAGAGGCATCTCCCTCCCCTTGACCCCTGCGCGTCCAGCACCGAGCAAGGCACACAGTAAGTCACTCATAATAGCTTCTTGCCTGGCTTTTCCCCACTGTAGGTCTGGGTGGGACAGGCCCGATGTCCTGGGCCTCGCAGCTCTTAGCAACGTGGGACTCCTGATGCAGCATGCTGAGAGTCCTCGCTGTCAGTGGCCAGCAGAGTGGAGAGAGGATGCCTGGGCCCCAAGCAGCAGAATCATTGCACAGGGAAGCAAGCAGTAGGAACGGGAGCTTGGGAGTCCCGGGAGACTCCGGGCCCGCTCGCTCCACCTCCACACTCACGCAATGCAGACGGGCAAGCGCCCAGCTCTGCGAGGCTGGGTCAAAGGTGAGCCGCCTCCTGGGGTCACCCACTGTTCTACTGGTCCCCAGTTCAAGTGCGGACCCCAGGTCTCCAGACGGGTACACTCCTCACCCTGCCACTCCTCGCCTTCGCCTTCAGTTCTCCTGCCTTCAAGTGATGGAGAGCCTGTCACCTACAGCAGCAACGGGGCCTTTGTGGCCTGAGTGACAGGACCATCAGCAAATCAAAAGGAAGAGATGCGTCCTCATTGCTCATCTTGCTCTCTCTCACAATGGCTGGCCCGCAGGGGGTGGGGAGCAATGCCCCTGCTGAAGTAGTCAAGATCGGGAAACTGGATGCTTGTGCTCGCAGGAAAGCCCCCCATCGTTCTGGCACGGAGAGCAGCTCCATCATTGGGAGCTCGGCAGCCCCGGAGAAGGAGCACGAGGGAGCGGGAGGGAGCCAGGTGCTGGCGGAGCTGGACCAGAAGAAGGGCCTGTGCTCCGGTCCCTCCCACCGACCACGCGGATGGAAATCTAAACCCACATAAGTTCAAGCTACGCCTCAGACACCTGAGAAAAAACACCACCAAGTGTCCCATCCCAGGTGGACTGGCATCTTGTCCAACAGGTCTGCCGACCCCTGACCCCAACCTGAGGCTAGCTTGGTGTGAGGTAGCCAGCACGTGGCCCATGGAAGACACCACCAGGCCGGTTTCACCTCAACTGACCGACCCAGGTGTGGCCCTCTACCTGGACTGTCCTTGCTTCCCGTCTCCGTCATTCCTCCTCCCACGTCCCCTGACACGAGGCTGCCCTCCAGCTGCCGAACCTTCTGGAACCCCCACCAGCTGAGGCCCTCGCCCTGCCCGTACTCACACTGCACAGTCAGGTAGGCGGAGGCCGAGGGGGAGCGCCCCAGGCTGTTGCTAGGGACGCAGGTGTACTTCCCCGCATCCTCGGGCTTCACCCGGAAGATGATCAGGGTGCCGTCGATAAGGATCCGCACTCTCAGCTTCAGGTCACTGTAGAGGAAATGAGGCGACGGGCGGGGGTGGGGGGTAAAGATCTTCCATGAACATCATGGGAGCGACACATCCTCTCACCCCCACGCACGAGGAAGAGCCCAGTGAGCCCTTGCCTTCCAGGGCCCCTCGGTGCAGACACTGGCCCTCACAGGTGGGACCTGTGCTCGGACCACCCCCTTCAAGTTCCTGCTCAAAGGCCTGGCCCCGGGGCCCCTGGCTGCCCCGCCCCCAGGAGGTCTGGGCAGGGTGCTCACTTCTGAAAGTAGACATTCTCATCCTGCCAGTACCAGGTGTAAGTGAGGTTGCCGGGATACGCCTCCGCCCGGCAGGTAAGCAGAGCATCCTGGGATATGTTGACAGTGATGTTCTCAGGAGGGGACACTATGAAGGGAGGCCCTGGGGACACAGGAAACAAGCATGACCTCACCGCATGGGGCCAGGGAGAAGGGAGCCCCAGGGCCTCTGGGAAGGGTGCTCAGAACTGAAAGGGAGACTGGGGGCAGTACTGGCCCGAGTTAGTAGCACAGCCCCAGACCGTTGTCATGGAGACGCTTCTACCTGCTGTCAGGTCCTTACTCTCCCTACAGGTCCCAGAGATGCAGATGGCGCTGGATGTGGCCACAGTGTGCCCCGCCCCCTGGCACCTATCTGCCCCCTGCCCCCATGCATTTCCCCCTCTACAAATGCTAGCCATTTAACACCACACACACACACACACACACACACACACACACACAGAATCCTTCTGTCCATCTTCCCTCCAAGAGCCATGAGGGAGGCCCTCTGGGCTCTCTCAGTCCAGAGCAAGGAGCAATGCTGCCCTAGAGGAGCAAGAGGCGTGCCCTGCTCACCCAGCAGAGGGTAAGAGGGTGCCCAGGGGAGGACTTGGGGGGCAGAGCAAACAGGGGAGAACCCCCGTCTCCGGGCTGGCTTTCCAGGCAGGCTGCAGCTGCCCTGGCCGGCGCTCTCCCGCAGGAGGCCAGTCCTCCTCCAAACTGCAGAGGGAACTCTAACCCAGTGCCACTCAGCAAGCCAGCCAGCAGACAGGCAGGAAGAGCTGACCAGCAGTCCTGGCAGCCCGGAAAGCCACCACCAACCACCGACAGCAGGCAGAGGCAGAGCAGGTGGGTGGGCTCAGCTCAGAGGAGAGACCTGGCCGCCCAGATGCCACCTCTCTGAGCCCTCTGGGCCCCGGGCAGGGCAGCCCGGCATTTCCAGGTGCTGCCCGTGCAAACCCCAGCTCCACCAAGTGCTCAAATGCCCTCAGTTATTTAAACGCTACCTTGGCAGATACAGAAACCCACCCAGCACGGATGACAGCCACAGCAGGCCACCGTGGGAGCTCCAGCGTGAAGTCCGTGGTATTTGGGAGGTGCCCTGCCCGGCCCCTCACAGCTGCCCACTTCCTCCTGCTGTGCCACCTACACTCTGCGGGGTTCCCAGAGAAAGGCCCGGAGCACAAAGCAGCCGGGGAGACCCATTACCTTGCACAAGCAGGTGGGTGGTATGGACCGCCTCTCCCTGGATGCTGTATGCGCGACAGGTGTAGGCACCTCTGTCCTCCCGACTGACTGACGTCACCGTCAGGCTCCCGTCACTCACCTGGGACCACGGAGAGATGAAGCTCAGCACCCACCTGGAGCCCACCCAACACCACCCTCAGGCAGAGGGGGCCTCGGGGCTCACGCACTGGGGGAGACCAAGGCAGGGGCCTCATTTTTCATCTCCCTCCAACAACAGACCCCAGCCAGTGCGCCTGCTGTTCCCCTCTCCCTTTGTGCCTCTGCCACTGGTCACGTGGAGTGGGAGACGGCCTTGGAGAGGGAGAAAGAGGCAAAGGGAGGGGAGAGGGAGAAGGGTAGGCAGTGCTCCCACCAACAGCACACCTACCTGGTATTTCCCACTAGCACCTAGGAGTGTCCCCTCCTTGAGCCAGGTGACAATCGGCTTGGGGTTCCCAAAAGCTGTGCAGGTCATGGTGACACTGCCCCCCTCCTTGGCCTCAATGTACTGGGGGGGTGTTTCTGTAAAGGTTGGGGGAGCTGCAAAGAGACCGCAAAGGCTCAGGGTGTGATTGGAGGGCTGCTGCCCTGTGTGTCATAGCCCCCAAACCCCCCTAGCATCAGCCACTGCACCCACACCAGGCACTGCCCGTGATACCATTCCTCATAGGCTCATGCCTGACTTTCTTCAAGGTGTACGGAGGGAAGAGGGAAGGCGGAGACGAGTAAAATACTCTGCCCATGAGCCTTACACTGGGAGAGGAAACCTGGAATTCAAAGTGTGTCTGGCTGTGTCCAACTGCTACACAGTTTCCACTGTATTTGGCAAATTGCCAACAAGCCCATGTTTGCTGAGCATCTGTAGGGAAGCACTGAGCTCAGCACTAAGACGGTGACAGACAAGACAGCTGTCCCCAGACTCCCACAGAGCCCGCAGCTGCTGCCACCGGCTCCACAGACGTGCTGTCACCCTCCCTTTCACCTCCTGACCACGCGTGGCACGCTGCTTCCTCAGCCCCAGTCCAGCCAGGCGTGACACCCGGACGCTCGCCGTCTGCTTCCATCAGGCCATGAGGGCCAGGCTGTCGCCTTCCTAACTCTCCTCTAATTATGCCAGGCTGCCCCCCTATGCCGCCACCTGCTTGGAGTTTTAACTAAAATGCCATCGCGTTGGGCAAAGCTTTTAAAAGACTTGGTTGCGCTTCTCTGAGCTGCCTGTAGAGGCAGTATGGTCAGTCTTGCAGCCTGGGGCCATCCGTTCTCTGAACACCAGCCCTGCAAGGCCCCAATGCCACTCTCATCTCATCTGGAGGCATCCAAAGCTCAGGACCAAGTTCGTGCACCAGCCTGCCCCTTGTTGGGTAACCCCGGGCAAGTTACTCAGCCTCTCTGGGCTTTTCCTGAAGCCCCCACCCTCCAGAATCGGTGTGAGAAATAAATTTATGTGAAGAAAGGATCTTGTAAAATGTTAGCACGCACAATCACCATCATCTCCTCAGGAGCCTCTGAAGCAATGAGAAGATGTCAGGGCATTTTAGCCTTGGTGCCCCTCTGCCAAACTTGTCTACCATATTTTCCCCTTCTCTGTGCTGTAACCATATTGCCTTCTTTGTCTACCACGAATGTGCCAAGACATCCAACCGCAGGGCCTTTGCGTGTGCTGTCCTCGCTGCTTGGAGCTCCATACAGTCGTCTCTCCTTTAGCTCACGCAATTCTGTGCTAAGATGCCATCTGGCCTGGCCTGGTCAGCCGATCTGAGGTGGCACTTCTAGCATTCCCTGCCCCTTAGACTGTTTCATTTTCTTCAAAGCACTTACCACTCCTCTCCTTAAGAAAGCACAGATCTTGCCTGGCCAGTGTGGCTCAGTGGTTGAGCATCAACCCATGAACCAAGAACTGGTGACCAGTCTGATTCCCGGTCAAGACACATGCCCGGGTTGCAGGATCCACCTTCAGTAGGGGCAGCTGATTGATGAGGTTTCTCTTTCACTGAGAGAGCAGAGATTTTTTCCACAAATCCTACTATATGCCCAGCTTTTAGCATAGTTCCTGGCACGTAATAAGAGTACTCCACAAACATCTGTTGAATATATGAATGAATGTATGAATGAATGAGTGTGCATACACATGCACACACCTACAGACCAACACATAAAACTCCTTAAAAGCATGAACATGACCATTTTCTTCCATAACCTTCTAAGCCCTTAGCTCAGCGTGGGCACACGGGGACACTGGAGGAGTGAATGCTGACTGAATTAAGAAGCATATCCATCACCAACACACTCTACAGACATCCTCAAAGGAGGCAATTCTCATCCAGTGTCTCCTACACCAGAAATAATGGCAAAAATCGCCCCACCCCTAACAAAGGGGTCCTGTCCCCCGCACTCCCAGGCCTCCCCTCCTGCCCTGAAATGTGCCCTCACTTCCTCAGGCACCCCCACCCCTTCACCCGCTCAACCTCGCCCCCACCCCCACCCCACCCCCGTCACCACCAAGCCTGTCCCTGGAAACACAGTTAATACAGCCACAGCCTCCACTGCCTCTGGCACCAAGCTCAAAAGAAAGATAATAAATTAAATTATGTCCTGAAGTGACAAATTAATTACTAATTACATAATTACTTTTATTATTTAGGTGCTAATCAGAAAAGTACTTTGAACAATTTCAAGTTTTCAGGAAAATAATGGTTGGAGTCTGGATTATTTACGGAATTCTGTGTTAGCTTGCCAGCTGCGCTTCCAGCTTCATTCTTTCTTACAAGTGCCCTATAATTACTGGTGCAGGTTAGACATGGGCTGGCCTGGCCTCCACGGAGCTCAGCAACCTAGAGGGAGGCTTGGCAGAAGGGGACTCGGGGGTAGTTTTTAGGTATTTTTTTGTATGTGATAAAAGAAATAATCGGGTTTGTTTCCACATAACTGATGTTCAAGAGAATACAGGAGAAGGAGACGATTTGTAATTCTAATTTCCCGCTGGCCTTTCTATTTTCCAAAGGTGATCCCTGTCAGAAAATGCCTGACACTGAACATTCTAGTTTGGAAGCAACGGCGTGGTGGGCGCTCCAGCCTCCGCAGCCAGGACAGCATGTACGCCGGGATGGAGGGGAGGCAGAATAAAGGAGAGAGATCTCCCGTGCACCGTGGGAGCTGCCCGTGTGCTGTTCTGCCTATTTGGGAGGTAGGCTCTTTGGTAAAGGCAAGTGAGGAGCCTGGTTCTAAAGCCTGGAGCACACGGTGCACATCCTTAGCTTCCCTGCCGAATGCTTCTATACACGGTGAACAGCCTGCCTGCTTTCCCTGAGCCCTGAGCGTTGGCTCGCCTTCCTCTGGGCTTCCGCGCATGCTGTTCCCTCTGCCTGGAGCTCTCTTTCCCACCGCCCCACTCTGCACCTGGCTCACTCCCCGTCCCTGCCCGGGTCTCTCTCTGCACACGGTGGTTCCCCCAGAGATGCTCCCCAAAGTCCATGTGGCAACTGTCTCTCCCCACCACTGCACCCCCAGAGCCTGCCACAGAGCAGACACTGGGATCTGGATGGGTACTCACTGGTGATGCACACACACTTTCACACTATGACAGCCCCTGGTATCCTGCATCCTGCAGCCTGAAGAACTTCCTGTGTCACCATATATCCCTGCGGACACAGTCTCCTCTGGTTTCATCTAGGTGTGTTTTGTTTTTTTTCTCTCGAGAAGGCGGATGGCCAGCATCTTACGCGTAATTTACCCGCATATCGCAAACCCTTCAGACACCGGGCCAGGCACGCTCTCACGCTGCGCTGCCCTCAATCCTCACGGCGGCTTTGCCAACAGGCATTGTGTTTGGCGGCTGAGAAAACCGCAGCTCGGAGAGTTGACTTAAGTTGCCCGGGATCAGACAGCTACCGCGTGATGGATTCAGGACATAAACCAAGCCTCCGCAGACTCTCGTTCCCTGCCAGTTCCACTCCGAGCAATTGGGAATCCCCGAAGAAGCGACTCCCACTCGTGCAGACGAAGACAGAGGCTGTACCAGAACACACAGCCCTGCTTCCTGCCCCACGCGTGTCTGCGGACGGTCGCCTGGGTCTCAGGCTGCTGAATGAACACCAGCAGGCGGGTGGGAGGAGCGGAGGTGCCAGGGAAGCTGAGCCGGTGCAGGAAAGGGCACAGGAGAGAGAGAGAGCAGCGTGGGGACTCCTGGCGCAGCCTGCAGTGAGGCTTTCAGCCGCGGTGCGCCTCCCTAATTATGTTTTGCTGGGGCTAATATTAAGATGAGTTTTCCTTCCCGGCACACACAACAGCTTGCAGCCAAAGGAGGTGACTCAAAAGCTTGCCGGGTGGTAGGGACAGCCCACCCAAGATGTAAAACCAGCCTCCATCAGTCTCTGGGGGACTGGCTGGTGAGAGCCGGCTGCATCGAATGGGTCCGGCAGCCTGGACCAACAGGGACTTCGGCTGCCACCTCTAAGCCTGCTCTTCCCAGAGGTCAGCGCTCTGGCTAAAATGCTCTGAGCTCCCAGGACCCTGGATGGGTTGATCCGAGCCCTGGGAGGATGACCCAGCCCCACAGGTGGACAGATGGAGTTGTCCCTCGAGGCAGATTAGGGCAGGTCGATGCTGAAAAGCATCCGAGCAGGACGCCATCCATCTTTCTCCCGACCACGGCACCTCCAGTCGCAGATATCAGAGCCATAAGCACCCAGCTGTGTGTGCTCGCCCCAGCACATGCGCTGTCGAAGCCTCGGGAACCAGCCTCGTGCCTGCAGCACAGCGTGGCTGAATACATTTCGCCAAACACTGATTAAGGAGGAATGAGGCTCTAACCAGAAAAAAAGACACAAACATCTTATCCCCACACACAATGGGGTTCATGCTCCTTCAAATGTTCCCCCCAGTCCCAGCTCCTCCTGCCTCCACCAGAAGATCCCTTCTCTAGTCCGGACGCCCAGTGACACAGGGGGCTCTCCAGCCGGGGAGACCTGGCCCCCAGCCTGGGCCAACACAGAGCCAGCAGGCCCCCCTGCAGCCTCCGCATGGGCCTCCTCAAATCATTTAGCCGGAGCTCTACATAACTGACAGCCATTAAAACTTCCTCTTCCCAGGATCCTCCTGGTTTAGGAGACGGTAAACCCGGTCTGGGCAGGGGCTGAACCGGGTACGCTCAGCTTCGTCTTTCCAGCATCTGGTGCAGAGTGTGGCGCACAGTAGGACCTCAGCACATCTTATGCAAATGAATGCATTTCACAAGGAACCAAAATGTCACCCTGCAAAGGGAATTCTGGGAACTCCACTGGAGGGGAGGCACTGGCAGGGTCTCTCCGAGGCTGGGAATGGTGCCTCCACAAAGCCTTAGCCCGGTTTCAAGAACCAGATTCCTTCCTCCCGATAAGGGAGGAATCAGCGCCCCCCTCACCCCCCTACCCCCACAGTACACTCTGCCCCGCACCCAGGGGGCAGCTCCTCCAGGCTCCCACAATCCCACGGCTCTGGGCAGGCAGCTGAGGGGTGTGGAGGGAGCCCAGCATGCTGAGGTTCCTCCCTGCAGCGGGGCCCGGGGGTTCCACCCGAAAAGAGGCTCCTGGGGACCCCCAGCCCGGGCGGGAACCCGTACTCACCGTTGATGGTGAGGTGCACCCAGCTGCCGTTGTGGAAGGTGTCATACTGCTGGTCCAGCATGAGCACTTTGCACTCGTACCAGCCCTGGTCCTCGGAGCGAACCTGCTCCAGCCGCAGCGAAGCTTTGTCGTGAAGACTCGCTCGGCCTGGGGACAGGCGGACAAGAGCCCAAGGGTGAGGCCCACATCTCGACACCCCCACCCCAGCTAAAGGCACGGGCCCCATCATCACCTGCAGGCCCTTCCGGGGGCAGGGCCCAAAATAACAGCTGGCACTGACCTCTGGCCGCAGGTGGCAAAGGAAAGGGCATAAAGCCTGGGCCATGGGAGCCTCGGGCAGGTCGATGCTGAAAAACATCCGAGATGGATGGTCCCTCGGTCCCTCCCACCCTCCAGCCTGGCGGGCCCCATCCCAGCTGCAACTGCAGCCTTGCTCTTGGCACTGAGAAGCGCTCAGGCCTTAGAATACGTCCCTTCTTTCAGGCATCACTTTGGACAAAGGGAAGGCATGAGGGATACAGAAGGGGGGAAGAGGGAGGGAGAGAGGGAGAGAAAGGGAGGGAGAGGGAGGGAAGGAAGTTGGGTGTCCAGGCCCCAGACTTCCATTCAGGTGGAGAAATACCCCTATCCCAGCTGGGCCCTGCCCCCCATACCCCCTCTGTCTGGCAGAGGGAAGGCAGGCTGGGGACCAGGGTGCTAGGACCCTTCCCAGTTCCTGATACCAGGGCTGGAGCTGCTGCTGGCCCAGCTAAGGCCCAGGGCCCCAGGAGCTGAGGCCACAGGCCTATGAGCTGGAGAGTGAGGAGAGGGCTGGCCAGCAGAGCAGACACCCAGTGGCCTCCTTACCTCTACCCTCTTCCCCCCAAAAGTCATTCTTGTCTCACCAAAAGTGTGTCTCACGGCACTGCAAGGTAAGCATTGCAGCAGGAGCCCAACAGAATGGGGAGCAGCGCCCCCTTCTCCAGGACAAGGGAGGAGGCCCAGGCACCCTCAGGTCCTCTCTCCCCTCACCCACCACCTCAGCCCACTTCACTCCAATGTCACAACCTCCTCTGCCTTCCTCCTTGTCTCTGCACTGGCAATCTGCCTAAAACCAGACTATCAAAGCCAACCGGGCCAAAGAGAGGAAAGGAGACACAGGCGCAGGAGGGAGGGAGAGAAGCGGAAGTTTTCCGAGAGAAAAGCAGTGCAGACCTCAGGAGCCAGAAGGGAAGATAAAAGCAGTGTCCTGCCAGCTTCCTCTCGTCCTTTCAACCCCAACGCACAGGCACGCACACGTTCACACATGCACACAGACACACGCGCTCGCACTCACATGCTCACACATGCACACTCCCACCCCATCCCACTCCCCCAACCCCACCCCAAGGCTGGCGGCAGGCACAGGCAGTGACTTAGTGTGGCCGCTGCTGGCAGGAGCAGCTGTGGCAGAGAGCAGGCGGCCACCACAGGCACAGACACACACCGACACCCAGGAAGCCCAACCTCAACGCCAGAGGGAGGTGTGGGTACAGGCAGACACAGCGCCACAGCTGCACAAGACCAGGCTCAATGGTTGTGACTCAGCTCCTCCCGCACAGAACTGCCCTCCCAGCCTGCTTCCTGTCTGCACCACCTCCTCTCCCTCTCTCCCCACCACGGAAGCAAACCTACCAGAGTCCAGAGGACAGGAAGGAAGAGGCAGAGACTGGAAAACAGCTCTCAGACCAGTGAGAGGAAGAAAGGAGGCAATGGATAAAGCAGGAGGAAACAACCACGGGGCCCGTAGGGGAGGGGCAGCCGAGCCAAAGCCAAGGACAGAGGCGAAGTGGCCAGGCCTTACCTGCATACTCAGGGTCCACATGGGGTGGGTAGTAGCCAAACTTGATGAAGATGGGGATGGGCACCCCGAACTTGAACCACTCCACAACATAGGGCGGGGGCTGCCCTGTCACCGGGTGGATCACGTCGCATCGCAGAACCACGGCCTCGCCAGCTCGCGCTGTCACAAACTCGGGCTCCTCTCGCAGGCCGTGGGCAACTGATGGGACAGCAAGGCTGGGGTTTAGAAAAGGAGGTGGCAGGAGGTCCTGCCCTGGTGACCCCAGAGGCAGCCCCCTGCCCAAGTTCAAAGACCTCTGCCCTCTCCCCGGACCAGCTATCCCGCAGCCCTCCTCCTGAAAAGGAGCTCACTCACTCCGCAGAGGGTCCCCAGGGCATTCTCCACCTTCCCCCACCCCGTCCCCGGCCATGAACCTCAGGAGGAGGGTGAAGAGCAGAGGCAGGCAGCTCTCCGCAGTCCTGCAGGCCAGCCCTTCCCTCCCCAAAGAGCACAGCCATTTCCAAGCCCTCCCCCAAGAATTTTAAGGGCCTGGACACTGAGAAGGTGGAGGGGCCTCAGCAGACCCGTGGCCAGGGCCGCCATTGCTGAGGGTAGACTCAGACTATCTATCTCCCTGCACTGGAGGCTTCGCGCCAGAGCCTGGTGGCGCTCCCTGGCTCCTCCCGTCCCTCCTCCTACACCACCCCACTCAGTCTAATATTGGCAGCACAAAACAAGAGTGCTCCACGCAGGAGCAGGGAATCCCTACAAGCTGAGCAGAGGCTGCTAGGGGCAACACTGGAGAGAAAAGCCCAGCCAGGCCCCTCCTCCCGCTCCTGGCTGGGCGTGCAATGGGTGGCAGGAGGAGCTCCAGTTCTCCCGGTTTCAAGCCCCAAACCTGTCAGCTGCAAAGTCCCAGATATCACTATTAAGAGAACAGGATGCTGGGGACAAGGGGCGCCCTAGGACCCGCTAACCCCAGCCAGCTGAGGGGGAAACACCATTCCGTGAGCAGAGGACAAACCATCCAGGTAGACATGGTGCACCCACCCTCCTGGCAGCGGAGGGGGACACAGTGAGAAGACCCACCCGCCCCCCAAGCTGAAGGTTAACCCAGACACTGCTTCACAACTACCAGGCTCCTGGACCCCTAAATGCGGGAGCCCCTACATGAAGAGTGTGGCCCCCACTTCCCGCCGGACACTCCTCACTCCTACACCAGCCTCCGTGCCCACAAAGTCACCTTGCCCAGCTTACTTCCCAACCAAAGGGACAGCAGAGGCAGCCTCCCCAAGCTGCCTTCCCTCACACCACCCAACAAAGCCCAGAGGAGGGCCGGGCTTCCCCTACCCCTCCCGCCTCCCCTCCCGGTCCTTGCAGGCAGCACCATGGACAGCAGCTGCTCACTGAGGCTGAGAACCAGGGAGCCGCTGGGCCCGCCCACTACTGCATGGAACCGAACAGCAGTCTGTCCCTCTATCTGTCTGTCTGTCAGCTGCCTCTAGTTCTTCATACACCTCTGACCCCTGTGAGCTCCTGCCTGTCTCCTTCCTTTGTCTTTGTCTCCCCTTCATGTCTCTCTCTGTCTTTCTCTAGTTGTCACTGCCTCTGCAATGTCTGTCTGCTCTCTTTCTTGCTCCTTCTCCATGTCTCTGTGTCTCCAGCTCCCACTCTCTGCGGGTGATTCTGTCTGCTTTCCTGTCTCCTTCCCTGTTCCGATGTCTCTATCAGTGTGTGTGTGTGTGTGTGTGTGTGTGTGTGTGTATGTGTGTGTGTGTGTGTGTATTGAGGGGCAAGTGGATTTCTGTTCGGGCTGTGCATGGGGATGGGGTTCTGCCTGCTTTATTTCCCATGTGGACCTCTGTCTGTGTGTGCTTGTGTGTTCCTGTGTTTCATCGCATTCTGTGTCTGGCTGTGTGTCTCCCTGTGTCTCTCCTTCTCTTCCTCCCCCTCCCCCACCCCTCTCCAGCTTCTCCCCTGCAAGTTGCAGAAGGAGGAGGAGGCAAGACCTTGCAGAAGCTGATTGGCTACCAGTGACATCACTGTTTTCTAGAGAAAGAGCTAAGATCACAGAGTATTTTTGGAGCAGAGTGTTGCACTCACCTGCCTGAGGCCCCAGCAGGTTTCCCAGCTCCCCACCCCCAACCGTGCAGCAGACTCAGTTTGAATTCCAGCCCCTCAGGGAAAGCATGAAGAGAGCCCTGCTGAGCGGTGCCTCCCCCACAGCCCCAGGGGCACCCAGATCGGGCAGGGCCTGCCTCCAGTCGTCTAGGAGTACAAAGGCTGATCTGCACCCAGGAGAAAAGGGCTACCACTGAGAGGGAGTCAAGTGCATGTGCGTGTGTGTATGCATGTGCATGTCTGTGTATCTCTTGGCAAAAGGACTCGTAAATGGGTGTGTGGACAGGTGTGTGCACATGTGTGTGCAGCACATGCTTTCCAGGAAATACAGAATCAGGGGGGAGGGAGAGGGAGGAGTTATTCCCAGGGGTAGGTTTCCTGGTGGGGGGTACAGGCACTGTCCACAGACGGGGCCTCCTTCCCAAGGCCTTGGCACTAGAGCCTAGGGCAGGAGAAGGAGGGACCGAGCACTGCTGGGCAGATGGCTGCCCACCTCTACCAGTGGGCTGGCCCTAGAGCTCTCGGGCTACTGGGGTGGAGGGCTCTGTGGGGCAAGCCCAGGAGGGGGGTGGGCTCTGTGCTCCAGCATGGGTTCCCACAGTGCCAGCTGCTCATTCACACCTGCTGCCACATTCTCACCGCATGGTAAGGAGGCAGCCTGGTCCACCCCATCCCCAGCCAGCCTCTGGGCCTGGGTGGCCTGGCATCCAGAGAGGCTGGCCCCCAGCCAGGCAGCCACATCCCCATTTCTTCTCAAGGACACAAGCAGCTGAAAGAGGACACGATGAGATAAGCATCCGAAAGATGGGGAAAGGCAAGAGATGGAATTCCCCAAGAAGAAGGCAGAGACCCTGCCTGGCCTCTGAACTCAATCCCACCCTCCTGGCTTTCTGAATCCTGAACTACTTATCAGCTTTCTTCATCTCCACTCCCCCCGTCGCCCCCCCCCCAGCCCTCGCCACATGCACTCGCTCTCTCCGTTACCACAAGCACCTCCTCTAAGCCGGATTTTTTTCTGAGCCAGAACATGTCTAATAAACACTTTCTACCAAAAAGGGTGCTACAAAAAACAAAACAAACAAACAAACAAAAAACAGCAGCAGCAGACAGGTTAGCAATGAAGAAGGAGAGGGGCTTGACAGAGGAGAGACGGGGCCTCAAACCCAGGGGACACCCACTAAAGCCAAAGTGGGAAAGGGATTCAAGAAACAAGAAAGGAGAGACCCAGAGATGGGAACAGTGTAGATCAGACAAGCAGGGCCCAGTCAGCCCAAGGGGAGAGAGGGGAGGAGAGAGAGAGAGAGAGAGAGAGAGAGAGAGAGAGAGAGAGAGAGAGAGAGAGAGAGATAAACACACCAGAACTCACGAGCACTGAAGATTCAGCCACGGGGACATACACACAGGCCTTCAAAGCACCCAGAACCAGGAGGGCAGCAGAGCTGAGGCTGTTTCTCCAGGGAACAGGTGGGCTACTCCCAGCAGAGCAACTGCCCACTCGTTCCGAAGGGAGCAGGAAGGAAGGGGAGGAGGGAGGGAGGGACAGAGGGAGGAGGAAGAGGTGGGAGGGAGGAGGGTAGAGGGAGGAGGGCGGGACAGGGAGAGGGAGAGGCAGGGATGTGGGGGAGGGAACAGAAGGATGGATGTGACCTGAGGTGGGGAGAAGCTGCAAGAAGGATAGAGACCCCCCCACCCACCCACCCAGATCCCCTTCCACATCACAGAAGCCTGAGCAGCCCAAAGAGAGGGGTGAGGACCGTGGGAGGCTGTGAGGTGTCCTGGGTTTCACAGGCCTGGTTCAGAGACGGTAGAACACAGCAGGGCCCCAAGCCGAGCCCAGCCCATCTGCACCTTGGGGCTCTGCCAGTCCCCCGTGGAGCTGTTTCACCCCAGGAGGGAAAAGGGGGCGGGGGCTGAGGCGGCATCTGTGGTCTGGCTGACCTTTGAAAGCCCACGGGGTACAAATCTCCTGCTCCCGGGGCCAGGTGGTCCACGGCGGGGACCAAAGTCCACGGCTGCCATTGGATCCCGTGAGCACAGAACCACGAGGCCACACACCTGACATTCACAACCTGGAGCTCTCCCAGGGCAGGGCTGCGGGAGGCAGGGCACCGGAGTGGGAGACACTCTTAATACCAAAGAAGATACAGGTGCCAGAGAGAGAGCTTCCACTTCCCCTGCTCACCTGCCATATGCCAGGCTCTGCGCTGGGCATGCATCACGGAGCTCACTTAATGCCCACGATGCCCACCTGGCAGAAGCACTGCCATTGCCATGTCAGCCAGGTCACCCAGGGGGCCACTGGGACAGCCTGCATGCCCTCTTAGCTTCACTCGTTCATACCACCTGCCGGCCACAGGCCAGGCACTGAGGCCTCTCCCCACTGCACCGAAGCACACCCCCTCCCACCCTTCCCCACACCCCCTCCCCACGGCATGCTCCGCAAGGCTCTCCAGCCAGACTCCCGCGACCGGGCCCCGGCCAGGATGACGGGGTGGGCACTGCAGAAGTCAGCTGGCTGGTGCCTGCTCGGAGCTCAGGGTCACACTACCAGGCCCAGGAGCCTCGGCTGGATCTGGCAGCCGCCGCCGCAGTGGTGAGGGGAGACCATGAGTGAGTGCTGCCCTCAGGAGGCCAGGTCCTCTCTGGAGCCTCCTCCGGTCTTCCTGCTCCTTCTCCCCTCCCCCTCCTCCTCTGGGCACCAGACTCCCAAACCACAGGCCTGCTGTCTAATAATACGAGTGGCAGTCACTGCCACCTCCACTGCCGCCTAAAAATAATCTCTGCTGAGTCCAAAAAAGGCACAGCCTCTGGTAGCCCCCAATCATCCCCCCACCCCCACCAGCTAGGAGGCTCCAGGAGACGCCAGGGAGCGGGCCCTCAGGCGCCCAGGGGTGCACTTGCCCAGGAGGGCATGAGGCAGGTCCTCAGAGAAGTCCCCGCCTCCTATGGTCTCCCCACCAGTGTGCTCACAGCCTTCGGACCCTACTCCCCTTCAAACCTCTTAGGGTGGAAGTCAGAGGTCAGGTGGGCCCGGACTGACCTGGCCAGGAAAGTGTCCCATCTTCTGAACAGCAAAGTACTGGGAGGAGGGGCGGGAA